GCGCCCCCCGGGCGAGGGGTCCTCAGGCTGGGGGCTGCGGACAAAGGCGGGGCCTTGGGTGTGTGGGGAGCCTGGGCGGCCTCGCGGTGGGGCAGAGCGGGAGGTGGGGGCGGCCGCGGAGGAGGGCGCGGGACGAGCGTTCGGGGCTCGCGGGGAGGCTGTGGGGCGATCGGCCCCGACGGAGAGGGGCGGGCAGGCCCGCACGCGTGGGCCGGTGGGGAGACGGGCGGCGAGCAGCCGGGCCGGGAGAGAGCTGAGGCGAAGCGCGTGAGCGGGAAGCCGAGCTCGGCGAGCCACATTCACACGTTGTTTGCGACCCGTGTTCAGGAAGCGCGGCCGGCGAGGGAGCGTGTTCTGGCCGCCTTCGGCGCGGGCACGTGTGTGGACTTATTGGACGGAGGCGGAGACAGGCGGGGTGCTGCGACGGCGACTTCATACGTGCGCCTGTCCCGTGTCTCTCCTCCCTTCGGGGTGGGAGGAGAGGGGACTATCTCGCCGCCCAGGCGGAGGGATACCGCTTCGGCGCACCGCGCGCGCGCGCGCGTTTCCCCCGATTTGGCGGGACGCGAGGCGGAGAGTTTTTTCAACGCCGCTCAGCAACGGCCGCCTGCGCGCTCCCTCCCTTCGTGTGCTTCCCCTCTGTTGGCGGGGTGGAGCACGAGAGCCTGGAAGCGCCGTGGCGACGAAGCGCGCCTGCGTGGCGAGACGTGCGGGGCGGGGGGAGAGAGGACACGCGCGGCGAGCTTGAAGGGAATGAATGGGAAGGTCGCTCGCTGCGACGTGGGAGGGGAGCGCACTTCTGGGAACAGCCGGCGTGATGCAAGCGAGGAGGCAGCGCCGGCGGGTAAAAGGAACAGCGCCCCCTTCGTGCAGGAGACGGCGGGAAGCGAGCTTGACAGTGCGCTGGAGGGAAGAGCCGCCGCCGCCGCGAACGTTCCAGCCACCCCAGCCTGGGAGGCGTCCGGGAAGAGCCGGAACCTGGGAGCCCTAGGGGAGCTGGAAGAGGCCACCCGCTGCAGCAGCAGCAGCAGCAGCTAGCCCGTCAGCAGCGGCAGCAGCAGCCCACGAGCCACCGCAGCCCTGGCTGGGAGGGATCTTGGAGCAAGCAGGCAGGCCGGAGCCCGAGGAGGAGGAGGAGGAGGAGGCTGGGCCGACCCAGAGCCAGAGCTGGGCCTGGGGGAGGCAATGGATCGGAAGAGGTGGGAGTGCTCAGCCCTCCCGCAGGGATGGAAAAGGGAAGAAGTGACCAGGAAATCGGGTCTGTCTGCGGGCAAGAGTGATGTCTATTATTATAGGTGAATGTGCCACGGCGGAGGGGCCTGGGGCGAGGGGCTGGTGGCGGGGCGGGAGGAAGGCGGCGGGGGTCACGGGGGAGCTGCTGCCGCGGCGGCTGCCGCCTGCCATTCTTGGAGATCGCTGGCTGGCCAACTGCTGTAAAGGTGTGCCCCCCCCTTGCAGCTGCACACACACAAAGACGGCGGGGGTGTCTGCAGTCAGGAATGGGGGGTGCATCTGAGCTGTCTGCCCTCCCTCTGCCTCTTGCTTGCACAGACTGTGTGTGTGTGGGGGGGGAGTCTTCTGGGTGGGCTGTGGACATGCTCACCTGCCCTTTGCTTCGCTGGCTTGCCACACTTGGGAGAATGGCCAGTTTGGAGCGTGAGTGGCCTCCACTGCATTTTGGGGAGCAGGCAGCCCCCGCCCTGCACTTGGCTGAAGAGCCGATGGTGTATCAAGGGGGTGATTGCAGAGGGCTTGCCACTTCCGTGGGGGCAGGATGCTGGAGTGGAGCAGGCACGAGTGGCGGCCCCATCGTGGTCTGCGCTTTTGTTTTTGCCTAGAGCTGAAGGCTAGGTGCCTGCTGCATCCCGGTTGCCAGGCGGACTGTGGGGCCAGAGCAGGGGGCCAGGTGGGGAATCTCCCTATAGGGGTCTTGTAGGGAACATTCACGGCGTGGGGTGCTCTCTGTCTTCTTTTCAGGCAGGGCTGCAGGTCCCAGGACATACAGGGCCGCCTTGCAGTCGAGGTTAGAAGACGACTTGGCTCTTCTGCAAGCAGGTTTCCATGGGGGGAGCACATCCTCTGCCACAGAGAGAGAGACAGTGGGGCTTGTCGTGCTGGAAAGCAGGGGTGCTCCTTGCAGCAGGCAGGGCGGGGGGCATGGAAAGCAGCCGCACAGGTGGCAATGGCATGCCAGCTGCATCGGATGCTGTGGGGGAGTCTTGGGACTGATGTCACGGATCATACCAGGCTGCAGGGGGGCATTCCTCTGAATTCCTCTGAAGGCGGCATCCTGATCTGCATGGGACAAGTAAGGATTTGCACTGCCCGTGGATTTGGCCTTGTGTGCCGGAGCCCCCTCGTCTTTCGATGTCCCTGACGTGGGCCTGGGAAGCAGCCTGAGGAGGGTGTATTCTCCTGAAAGCCCTGGGTGCTGACAGGGTTGGGGGCGGGGGGGCAGAATTGGGAGCAGTGCTGCTGTCAGCCCAGGCATCCAGGGCCCAGTTGCATGAAGGGGTACAGGGTGCCTTTCTAACTCCTGTTGCTGGATAGAGGGACTGCATGTGTGACAAGTGATTTTAACATTTTCTTACACAAAACAGTTCTTTCCCTCTCCATTACAGCTTCGGGGTGACAGCAACCTCTTGGTGGGCAGGTAGTCCATTGAATAGAGCGGGGTGAGAGAGAGAGGGAACCTTTAATGCCTGTCAAAAACCTACAAGGCTGTTAGTCCCCTGATGTTGTCAGGGAGACGGATGTGGCGTAGCATCTCCCCATTCATACAGGAAAGAGTAGGTGGGATTTAGGGTGGAAAGAAACAACGCCGTGTGCCTCACAAGCTGCAAAACAGATTAATCCAGCCACCCATGTTCAAGTTATTCTTAAATACAGAAAGTTCACAAAGAATGAGGAAATAACTTGCCATTTTGATAGCCAGACTTTTATCTTAGAATAAGATATTTTAGCAAACCTTGAGTAATCATCATTGAAACAGACATTTACTTCTAGTTCAATGAAGTGATCTACACTTGTGTAGATTTGCACAAGTGGACACATTCTACATATGATGGATTCTCTCCAATCTTTCAAGCATTAATCTCTCAAGTAATAATAATTACAAAGAAAGTGGAGTGTTTTTCAAACTTTTACCTTCAAAGAACAGGCTTCTATTATGAGGACATAACCCCCCCTCCCCCAAAAGCCAGTGCTCTGCCACAGGTTCTGGGAAACCTCTACACCTGCTGAACCTCACTGTTTTATGGGAACCAGCTCTTGGTTCTGACAGACACTTGTGCTCCACTGTACCAATCGAATGAGAAAAGTAGGAGCCGGAGATCCAGGTAAAACATGGAGAAAATGTGCAACTCTTAGATGTTTTGATGCAGCCATCTAATTTTCTTCCACACTGATTTAAAATTGAGCTGCTCTTGGCGACTGGAGCAGTTTCCCATTCACCTGTCCCAGCTTTTTCAACCTGGCAGCCTGGGGTATTCCTGGAGGCATCTCCAAGAGAAAGCTAGGGAGCTGGAATGTGGAGGCGTCATGTGGATCTTGGCCATGGGCTGACCTCCTTACAGAGTCTTGAGCCAGGTTGTGTGTCTGCGAAAGGGTGTGATCCTATATGCTTGTTTCCCATGCGCTGGGACGTGCATAGCCAAAGTGTCCCCATCTATACACAAGAGGGAGGTTTGATTCTGACATCTCAGATTAGAAAGGCTGGGGAATACTACTCTACCCCACCCTTGAGAAATGCTGCACAGACCATCTACTTACTGGCCTGAATATTATTAATGTTACTACTATTACTGCAATAACCCAATGGCTTATTGCCTTTGAATAAGCTAAAATGCAGTCAGCCAGGTTTAGCTTATTTAAAGCCAGGAAGTAGGGCTTAGCAGAGGCGTTTCGACCACCTCTTAGGAGAATGGGGAAAACTGCACAGAAGCCAGGTGATCAGGGATAGGAACCCAGAAGGGCTGGATTAGGCTCCTGGGCATTTCATCCCCGAACTGGGTACCTGCACAGCAGCAGCATCATAGGTCCATCCCTTGGTATATTGGGCCAGGTGGGGTATGCAGCCATCATGGCATTCCTGTGCGCTTGGTATCAGTGCATTTCACCTGGGTAATCAGGTGGTAATTGGGTGGTAATCAGGTGTTTGTCAGTGGGAAGATTGGTGATTGCTAATGTTTCCACAAAAGGCGCCTGACCTACGCAACTGGTTTCCTGCAGGATGCAGCCACAAAAGGCTTGCTGCAGCTGATCGTTGGCTCAAGTAGCCAGTTCCCCCCAGTGGCTGTAGAATACGCCACAGAATCTCCTCCTGTGCACAGCTGCTCGGTGGGTAACTCAGCATGGAAGTCTGTTTGAAGGTAGAAAGTTTGAAAACTGCTGCACTGATGCATAGTTTAATTCTCAGTTTGCTCTTTCCCCCATAATTATGAAATTTCCTGGGGGGGGGGTCTCCGTCCGTCCCCCGGGTGCTGTGAAATGCTGGTGTGTTCCTCTTGGAAGTGAAAAGAGAAGAGGTGGAGATGAGGTTGGCTTATAATAGAGTCCAGGATAAATTTGCAGGGCTTTTTTCCCCCTTGCCAACAGAGTATAAAAGAACAAAGAGTTTAGCTTGCCGATGCAGACTGGACATCTGGAGGCTGTTGCGAGAAGTCTGAATGGGGAATGACACATTCCTGTTAATTCGCTCCCCTCCACCCCCGCAGAATGCTCACACTCCTAAATGTCTGTGAATGTCAAGTAACACTTTAAATAAAGGAGTGAAAGGAACATGGGATACTGGCTGCTTTTTTTGTCACCAATGGCCAAAGCAACCCACAGAAAAGCCTACGGGGTGAATGTACTTGTTGGCAGAGGGGCACGTTGAATTAGTCTCCATCGCTTTGCAGCTGCTTTTTAAAATCTTCCTTGGAGAGGAACTCTGACTGAGGGCACTGGAGAGTGCAGCAGTTCCCACGGAGTGGTTTCCTTGGTATGAAGTCCTCAGATCAAAAAGATGCTTGACCCAAATTCCAGCTGATCTTTGGGCTATTGTGGCTCCCTCTCTGTGGGTAAAGCACATTGTTTGTGCAGCTCCTTGCCCTAGAACCTGTTCTGGAATACTTTAAATCTGTAGAAGGGAAATCGGTCCCCTTAAAGGTTGATCAGCTTAGCTCAATAAAACTACTGCAGCTGCTAGCATCTCTCCAGGGTCTTGAGTTACCTGCTACCTAGCACCTTTCACATGTATTAAAACTTACGTATTTGATGCATGTACTGTGGTCTGTTGCCTGAAAATCAAGAATGTTTCCAGTCCTCATGATTCTAAATTAAAGACTGGCTTCTCTAGGGTGTGAGGCAGAAAGAGGTCCTTCCTGTCACCTACCTTTTGTGAGGTGCAGTCTCTCTCCAGGTGCCAGAGGATTAAAGAGTATTTGTTGAGGTATGGCCTCTTTCCTTGAGCACTTTGTCCATCTGCCTGGTCCCTTCAAAACTAGCCAGGCTGATCTGAAAAGGGGTGTGGGGGGGTGTTTTGGAGAAGCCTTGTCTTTCCTTGAGAGAGCTTGCGGGTGCTTGTGAGGGGGCTTGAGACCACTTTCTATGGAACCCTGGGTGATGCTGCAGAGTACAGTCGGTTTTGTTGGCACATTCAGCTGATCCTGGCACGTTTAAAAATGCTGCAATCTTGCAATGTTTGTATTGGTGGTTTTTAAAGTCCTGCGGGCAGGTGGCGTGCTCCAAATGGCTGGTGAGGAAGAAGCAGCTGGGCAGTATTTTGGGCTTCCTGGTAACGAACCTGCATAAAGTCTGTATCAGATTTCTCTGGGCTCTCATCTGTTAACTTCATCAAACCAACTAGGGATGTTTTGACATAAATGGCATTTCAGCTTTTAGCTCAAACCTCACACCTGCAACAGGTGTGAGAAGGAGGGCAAGGATATTGCTAGAGAGGCACTGGCTCTCTCTGGAGAGCTTCAAAGAAGGATCTGCTCACACTGTTTTAGCAGTCACTTCCCTGGGAATGTGCTTGTTCAGGGCAGGGCTCGCCTAGGTAGCTCTGTGCAGAGCGAATGGTTTCTCTCTCCACTGTGGCGCTTTCATGGTCACAGAGATCAAGAAGTGCAGCATGCATTGTGTGTGGATAACCGTTGGAGCAAAACGCCTGTCTGACGAGGCTGGGCACCAAGGAAATGCCAGCCCGTGGTGCACGATCGAGCCCAAGTGCAAAAACTGATTTCCCTCCATCCTGTCTCTCCCTCAGCCCGAGCGGGAAGAAGTTCCGCAGCAAGCCCCAGCTGGCCCGGTACTTGGGAAACTCCATGGACCTGAGCACGTTTGACTTCCGGACGGGGAAGATGCTGATGAGCAAAGTGAACAAAAACCGGCAAAGGATGCGCTACGACTGCTCCAGCCAAGCCAAGGTGAGGGTGGCCAGGAAGAAGCGGCCATGACTTTCCCGCCCAGGCTGCCTGGCTAACTTGCAATATCTTGCGACCCTGGCAGGGAATGGTATTTGTGACACCGCCAGAGTGGGGGTCCTGACCCTCAGAGCCACTGGGACGTGTCCCCCCAGCCCCAGGTCCCAATCCAGCTCTCCAGGATTCTGTGGTGGCCACATCCCCTTTCCCCTGACCATCCATAGTGTGGCAGTTTCCCTACTTTTGCACAAGGGTTTGAATGTCACTGAGTTAAATCCCCCTTTTTTCTTGAACTCCATCACTGAAATGTTTTAACTGCAATTTACATCGGGGCTGTGATTATCACTGGGATTAGAGCTGGCATGAATGAGCCTTTTGACCCTTTATGCGGGTGGTCCTGAGGAAAATCCAGCATCACAAGCAGGCAAGTGTAAATTTTCAGAAGAGGGGTTTGCTCCTGGACCACCATAGGGGTAGGAAAGAGTTTCAGACCTCCTGAACTCAAAACTCTTTCTCTCCCTGTGCCCACTACACGCGACGCACATCGCCCTTCGGTCTTAGGATAAACCCGACCTCAACACAGCGCTTCCGGTCAGGCAGACTGCTTCGATCTTCAAACAGCCAGTCACGAAGATCACCAACCACCCCAGCAACAAAGTGAAGACAGACCCCCAAAAGGCTGTGGACCAGCCCCGCCAGGTAAGAATCTGAGTGAGCCCAGAGGCTTAGTCTGACGCTTAGTCTGGAGAGCTTGCTTCTTGGGATAAGGCCCCTGCATTCTGACTCCTGTCTTGAATAACATTGGTTGCGCTGGCTGGGGCTGATGGGGGTCGTAGTTGACAGCATTTGGAGGGACCCATGTTGGGGAAGTCTGGAACTGAAGACAATAGCCAGAGAGATGCATTGTCTGGCCTGTAAGACTGTTTCCAAAAGATATTTAAAAGCTTTCACAATTTTGCAGAGATGTGCATGGCCAGTCTCTCTCTATTCTTTCCATTCTTGGTTTCTGTATGTAATGACATTGATCTATGTTTTCAGCTTTTCTGGGAAAAGAAGCTAAGTGGCTTGAATGCCTTTGATATTGCGGAGGAGCTGGTGAAAACCATGGACCTTCCGAAAGGTTTGCAAGGTATGTCTGTCAAACTCATTGGGGACTGATTCGCAGTTGGGGGCAGCTGCTTAGTAGTGACCAATTAGATCAAATCAGGACACTGTTTTGTTAGTTGGCATTTCATATTCTGGTCCTTGGCCCCCAAAGGTTCTCTTGTATTATCTTACAAGAGTTTAACAAACAACAGGAAGCTTTCAAATGCAGTGATGCAGCAAATAGCATAAGATCACATTTGAAAAGAGCCAATCTTAAACTCCTGAAACAGGATTTATTAAATAACAAGATCTTTGTTTGTTGTTGAGCTCGGTGAGAAGAGAGGCTTCTGCCAGGCCAGGGTGTCACCCCCAAGAAGTCTGTGTCTCCAGTCACTGAAGGCTGAGGATCTGCCGGGTGGCCTGCCATAACCCTCACCCCAGTCAAGAATGTAGGCATTCTGGATTCTAGTCCCCACTCAGCCATGGAGCCGTCTGGGTGACGGGCTCAGCTCAGCCTGCCTCACAGGGTTGTTGTTGAGGGGATAAGATTGAGAGCAGGAGGCAGAGAACGATGCAAGCCGCTTTGAGTTCTTAAAAAAGACAGAATATAAATCCAATAAGCAGTGCCACTCTCTCTTCACCCTCCTATTCCTTTTTCCCTTGATTCTGCTCTTCGCCAGGAGATCCAGCTGTGCTTTGGATTCACTTCTGACCAAAGCTGATCACATTTAGTTTGTTTTGCAAACTAAACCATTCTAGTGGTTCAGGGCTGTGTTTGCATTCACTTCTGCTGAATTTCTCCCTGCCTTCATCCTGAGGACAGGTGGCATTGCCGCATTAGGCAAGTCTGCTTTCCCCTGGGGAGCGCCAGGGCTGAGCTAGGATCAGTCCCGGGCCATCTCTGCTAAGGCTCAGCATGCCACAGGAAGCCATTGCGTCTCAGACTGGACAGCGCCTTCCCGCCTTGTTACCTTCTGTCCTGCTGCTCCGCTCTGCTTGCTGCAGCCATCCCGAACTGCAGCTCCCAGAATCCCCCCAGCCGGAATTCTGGGAGTTCCAGTTGAACATATGTGGAGGAAGCCAGCCTGGGGAGAGCGGGTTGATCAGACTGGAGGGAGTGATATCGGCCGTACAGCGGAAGGGGCACTAACGGATTGCCGCTCCGGCTTCCTTAGGCGTGGGGCCTGGTTGCACAGACGAGACCCTCCTTTCAGCGATCGCCAGCGCCCTGCACACGAGCACCATGCCCATCACCGGGCAGCTCTCGGCTGCCGTGGAGAAGAACCCAGGAGTATGGCTGAACACCTCACAGCCCCTCTGCAAAGCCTTTATGGTGACAGATGAAGATATCCGGTAGGAAACATCGGTTGTGGGGGAATCCTCAAATGTCAGGTCAGAAGAGCTTTCCCTGAGTGGAGTCCTTCCTCCTGAGATCCGGTGGATCCTCTTGACCAAGGGTCCCAAAGTTTTTGAATAGGGGGCCAGTTGAAAGGTGCCAGGGATCGGTGTGGGCTGCCAAGGTGGTGCAGGCGGGGGGCGCGGGGTGGGGGCATGCGTGCGCAGAGATGCTTTTCTCCGAGCGAGTCCAAAACAGTCTCCTTGTGAGCAAGCCGGCACCTTGCCGTGCGCATGGCGAGCTATGGTGGGCCGGATCCAGCCCATGGGCTGCAGTTTGGGGACCTATAAAACTGTGTGTCTATAAAACGGTGTGTCCAGGTCCCCAAAACTAACCTCCTTACCTGTGTTTGTATTATACTGTGAGATTTCTCTTAGCTGAACAGATACGGTCTTGCTTGTATTTATCATGTGATAGCAGAGGGAAACTGACACCCCCAGGGTCAGAACACCTACAGAAGGAAAGGCTTTGGGAACCCTTGGTTTAGCAGAAACGCAGCGAAGACAAGTCATGAAAGAAGGTTTGCGAAATTAACCATGCTGTGAAGAAAGTTGGGGCCAATATTTTCCCCCTTCGTCTCAGCACACTAAAACTGACTGCAGAGCAACACCAAATGAGATTGATTGGTGGTTGGTTCTGAATAAATTATTAGTTACCCAAAGCAGAACTGAGTTATGAAACTACCTTTGAAGGCTTTAAAAGGATTAGGTAAATTCACGGAGGGTTCACAATCGCCCTAAATGATTAAAATAGACCCTCCTTGTTTAGAGGCAGTCTACCACCTGGAGAGGGGGATCGTATTGTCTTCAGGTGGTCCTTGAGGACATCCAGCAACGTCGGGTTGCCATGGCAGGAGGCAGGATTAAAAGTCTGGTCTGGCCCAGCAAGTCTGGTCTGACTCCCCTTCGTTTTGCATGCGATGGTTTTGCTCTCTGGGCGTGCCCTTTGCCCCTGTGGATTCTGGATTTGCCTGCGCTGCAGGCAGTGAAAACCAGGGGAGAACGGGGTTGGGCAGCGTTGCATCACTTCCCCTTGGCCTTAACAGGAAACAAGAGGAGCTGGTCCAGCAGGTGCGGAAGAGGCTGGAAGAAGCGCTGATGGCCGACATGCTTGCACACGTGGAGGAGGTAGCCAAGGATGGAGAGGCCCCTGCAGCGAAGGTTGGAGGCGGTGAGGCTGGGGAGGAGGAGGAGGAGGCCGACCGAAGCCAGGATGTGGAGTGCGTATAGTCCAGGTAGTCACCAGCATCCTCTCCCTCTGTACCATCCACCCCTCCACCGTGACCTGGGTTCCTGTCTTTCCCAGCTGTTCTGGAAAACCCAGGAGGTCCTTTGGTCCCTGCAATATCCCAGACCTGAGGTCACTTACTGTCTAGCACTGTGGGTTCTCCTCCAACTGGCTGCAAAAGCACCAGCGCTTCAAGGAAAGCTCTTTCCATTACCCGTGTCCTGGTGCTTCCTACCGAAAAGTGTTTTCACACGGGCGCATAGCTTCCATTTGTGCTCTGGAGCATCACTGTGCGACTCCATTAGGCCAATTTGCTGCCACTCCCCCGCATTTGAGAGCAGTAGTTCTAAAGGTTCTAGTCCTCTGCAGGTCACTGAATGTGTGTCTCTTTCTCCTCAGGGCAGTGCTCCGGAGGATTCTAGCCTAGTCCCCGTTCATCTTGAGGCAAGTGTGTCTTCAGACTGTATCGCACACCAACTCCATGGCTCTGTGGTAAACATGCCTGGTCTCCGCTTGCAGGGAGTCCGAGAACCCAGTAGGTCCCCGGGTAGTGTGAAGAAGGATTTTATTAAACTTGTAGTCTTCCCTCTCAACACCCCATTTTTTTCTTTCTTAAACGTGCCACAGAGCAGGGGAAGGAGGCAGAGGACTGACCCTGGAAACTGCAGGTGTGTCCTTGCATCTTCTTTCTAGGCCAGTGATTTGATTTGAGAAAACATTGCTGGTGTTGCTTTCATACTGCCTCTGCACACTGCAAGGTCATCGTCCCCAAGGTTACAACCAAGGAGAAGGCATGTAGCCGTCTCCCCTGTCTGTCTGGAGGCACCTGTCCGTGGCCATATTTTAAGCTGTAGATAATCCATTCTTCCTGTGATATCGTCTCACCTGGCTTTCGGGTTCGTTGGAGGTTCTTTGCCTGGATCCCCCCCCCCCCTTCAAATCCAGAGTGGAAGGTGCCTTCCTGGGCAGGCTGGGATGGGAAGCTGAGCTCCTGAACCATTTGTTGATTTGCTCTTTATTTCTGAGTCCCCTTTTCAAAGGAACTGCAAACTGTATTGGAGACAGGGATCTGGCGGGGGTTCATATCGAATGCTCCAAACATGAGCAGTCTTTCTGTAGAGACTTTCAAGCTGGTTGTAGATAGACAGGGATGTTAAACACCATTTGGATAAAATTTTGTAACAGAAAGGAGTTCCAAGAGGGAGATAGTCTACTTTCTGTGCTGGAAGTTCTCCAGCATCTGTTTGACCGGGTTCAGTTACGGGGCAGGGGGTGGCCTTGGTTTGTCCTGCATATACTTTTTAAAAAGGGAAGAGAAGTTACCAGCTTTGCTGAGGTGCACCTGGAAATGCCACTAACTGATGCACTTGGGAGATGATGCAGACTTTGCCTTGCTGTGGGCTCCCAGATGCTGTCTTCCGCCTCTTACACGTGTACACACTGCACCTTCCTATATTTTAATTCTGCCTTGTGGTGAGATGTACTTCTGGGCTGGTTAGAGAGGAGAAACCCCCAGAGTGTTCCAGCCAGCGTACCTTTGCCGATTCCATTTGGTGGCAGATTCCAAAGTGTGTACAGCACCACTCCAGAGGGGAGCTGTTCCGCCCTGCCTCGCACGGACGGTCCGATTTGGCTTACTGAGGAAGGGCGGAGATCGCTTGCATTTCCTAAATAAAAGAAATCGGACATTTAGGCGTGGCATCAGGCCCCCAGATTAATTTGTTAAAAGGTGGTGATCTTGCGCAGCCTTCATTTTAAATATTGTTTGACTAGTCAGGTGTAACCCATAATTTAAATCTTGCTTCCATGGACACACACTCTCACCCTCCTGCACACGGGTTCCTTTTCTCCGTGCTCAGTTACTTGCATGGAGTTCCTGCCAAGCAGACGAGCCTCAAGACACCTTTACACTTTGTGAGATGTAAAAGCGCGCCAAGGAGCTTTGCTTTGTGCTGTGATGTCGCTCTGGCAAATCTTGTTACTGCTGTGCAACCCTGAAAGACAAAGGGAGGCACCCTTCTGTTTGTTGTCCCCTCCAACTTGGTTGATCGGATTCAACATACTTTTTGCTTCCATGCTTTACAAATGAAAGACGATGTGATTGTGATGGTCAGTTTCCAGGAAATTCCACCATCCTGTTGTATGTCTTTTCAAACAGGCATCCTTTTCTGCCGATTTGTACTTTCACCTATAATGACATCTTAAGGTATAACCTTGTTGGGGAATGTTAGTTTTGTAATAAAAAATGTTTTTCATACACTTGAACCGCTCGATGAGTAAATGTTGAGATGGGGGCATGAACGGAAACCCTTCTGTACCGGGCGACTAACAGGCATTCAGAGTGTGGGGCATTGGTCACCAGTTCTGACGGCTTTCGGGAGGGGATGAGAAAGATGGAGAGATGAGAAAGTGGGTTGTTTGTGTCAGCTAAAGGCGCGGCAGTTTCCTGCCTGCTTCCTCGCTGCATGCTCACCAGCTCCAAGGCTTCCCATCAACAGAAAGCTCCCAGAACCAGGGCAGGCTGCCACCCTCCACTCAAGCCTCGAGAAAGAGCAGGTGGAGCCAGGGGAGCTGCTGAACAGAGCGTTGCTTGTGCTGCACAGGTTGGGTGGGGGTGACCCCACCTGCGAGCAGGGCCAAGACCCACTGGCCGTCCCTGGACCGCAGTCCAAGGAGCACTCGAGTGGCCGTGGACACATCACGTGGACCTTGTGCTGGGCACGTGGGAAACGCACAGCCCCGCCGAACCAGGTGGCTGTTTGCGTCACACTGCCTTTCGCTAGCTGCCGGCACTTGATTAATCTAGGTAGTTCTTGGCAGGCACACCTGTCCACAATCTCGAGGAGAGGTACTTCTGTTCCCCCTTTCCTGCTTCATGCCAGGGTTTGCTGCTGGCTCTCGCATGCAATGCCACGGCGCTCCTACTCCTCCGGAAGGAAGGTGGGGTGTCAGTAGCCATGCCCCCTCCCCACTGACGCCAAGCCAGGCTGCCGATTGCAGCGCTGCGTTTGCGAGCAAGCAGTCCTCTGGATCCGCCGGGTCTCTTCTGTTTTACGAATGGAGGGCAGCAAGGGTCAGAAGTGGGCCACCTTGCTGCCCCCTCGGCAGGTTTTTTGGAGATCTGGGAAAGGAGCCCTCGGCAGCCTCCCTTGCTCCGAGGGGCTGCCTGCTGCGAGTGTCCCTCGTCCGCTGGCCCTGACCACCACTTGCTCACCCACCAAGCCCCAGCTAGCCAACGGGTGGGGCATCTCCCCCCCCCCCCACATTGCCTGGACTGAAGTGAAGCGAGGAAGCACAATTGGGTCATCGCCAAGAGAAGCGGCTGCACACGGGACCTGCATCCACAGGCCTCTGGCTGTGCCTGATCCTGCAGCTCTTGACGCATGGGCAGGAGCCCACGTTCTACACTCGTGCTTAAAAGACCAGCCTCGCAAGGGTGTTGCTGTTGGTGAGTGCCGTCTACAGAGAGGGCTTTCCATTTCCAATTTCAGAGGAGGCAAGGCTCAGCCCAGGAAATCTAGGGATTATGGGACTTTTTAGTCTGGCAGTGGGGTGCTGGGGACAGTGGAACTAGCTGCCCAGGCACACCTAGGATTGTCCCAGGAGGTTTTTCACTACTTTTGATGGCTCTGCTTCACACTGAGCAAGGTGTAGGCTAGAAAAATATTAGATACTGCTATTAAAGAAGAGCAAGGCCACAGTGCTGTCCCTTATGGGGAAGAAGCCACATGCGTGTCTGTTCATACAAGACCAAGTAGACGCAGCTGGACTGACCATGCTTTTCTGGAAATGAAGAAAATGCCGCGCTTCTCTGAAGCAAGAGGCATCTCCCAACCATATTCCCCCCCCCCCCCATAGCAGAAGTTGGATATTCTGCCCCCATCTCCTGGAAGCATTTGTGGAATGCGGGGTGGGGGGGTTAAGACAGGCAGCACCTGGCGTTTGCGACTTTCAACCACGCCTAGGAGGAGGAAGAGCCCTTCCAAGTGGCCATCAGTACGCGCTTTAAAAACGTTATTCATCGTGGTCACCTGATCCAGCACCGTAGCGGAGCGAGGTATCCGCTCTTCCTTCGGCAAGAGGGCCCGCACGGCAGCTGCTCCGCGGGGTGGGCGTTCCTTTGCTGCAAGATGGACCTCTGCAGCCCCCGACTTGGGTTCCTTATTCGCTGTCATCTGCTAGTACAAGGCAGGAGCTTTGCAAGAACAGGATGGGAAAGACCCGCGCAAAGCGCGTGCTGCTCGCTTCCCCGTGCCGTCCCGTTCGTGGGCACCCGAATTGACACGTGCGCACTGTATAGCGCTGGTTCGCGCGCCCGCGCGCGCGGAGCCGCCGGCGGAGAGCACGGGGATACACAAAATGCAAAATCCGGGCGGGGGGCAACCCGAGTCGCGGGGTCGAGATCAGGGCCCCCGAGCGCGCGCGCGTGTTGAGACATGCCCCGTGCAAAGAGAAACTTGGCCGTCTTTGCAGAGCCAGGTTGGCGCTGGAAAGACGCGCTTTGAGCCAAGCCTTGAGGTTGGTGGGAACTGCGGCCCCGGGCACGCGCCGGACCCCAGCGGCCAGGTGCGCGAGCGCGCGCGGGAGAGAGGGCTGCCCCCGCCGTGCATGTGCGAAGCCCTGGGGGGTGGGGGGCGTGGGAAGCGGTGTCCCCGGCGCATGCGCCCTCGTCCGCCTCTTCCTGGGCCAGGCTTTCATTGTTGGGCTGGAGGTGACGCGCCGCTCCTGGGTGGGACAGAGGCGAGGCCAAGCCGGGCGAGAAGCGGGCGGGGGCCGCTCCGGACAGCCTGGGCTCGTCTCGCCCCCCACCCCCGGGCCGCCAGCGGCAGCGGCGGCGGCGGCAGCAGCATCCTTCCTTCCTTCCCTCCTTCCTTCCCCGCCTCTCGGCTGGGCTGGCGGATGAAGGCTGCCGCAGGAACTGCGAACAAAGGACGGGGCGCGCGGGAGCGCCGGGGGCGAGAGGCGGCGGCGGGGGGCGCCCGGGCGGCCGGCGGCAGAGGGAGCCCCCGAGCCGGAGGCTGAGTGGGAGCCTCCCAGGCTGGGGGGGCAGCGGCAGCGGCGGCTGCAGCAGCAGGAGGCGGGCGGCGGGGACCAGCCGCTCGCCATGCCGATCGCCATCCACCAGCTGAAGGGAGGGGAGGGCTCCTGCTGCCCCCCTCCTGTCCTGGCGGGGCTCTTCAGCCCCCCGCCGGCGCAGCCCCCTGGCTACGGCGGTAGCTCCTCCCGGGCGGGCGGGCCGAAGGCGGAGGGCGCGCCCTCGCGCCTCCCGGCGCATCTTTCCCCGCCCCCGCCGGGCGGGGGTCGACCCCAAGACCTGGGTGAAGAAGAGGACCCCGCGGCACAGCTCCAGTTCGCCTTAGATCAGCTCTCGCTCTTGGGGCTGCAGGACGAGCAGGAAGCCGGAGGAGAAGAAGGCGCTCCGGGCGAGGAGGCAGAGTTGGTGCAAGAGACCGGCGAGCGCGCGGGCGCGGGACCACGCGCGGACGAGGCGATGGAGGCTGGAGATGCAGGCGGGCTGGAGCACTTCTCCTTTCCTGCTGCGGGGACCGACCGAACGGGGCTGCTGCTGCTCGACCTGGAGAACAGCCCCTCGCCTTCCTGCGCGGCCTCCCCGGTCGAGATCTTTGGGGCCTTCCCGCCCCACCTGGCGCACCCGCTCCCTCCGCAGCACCCCCTGCTGCCCGCGCAGCTCGGCCTGCGCAAGAAGAGCGTCAACATGACCGAGTGTGTTTCTGTGCCCAGTTCGGAACATGTGGCGGAGATCGTGGGCAGACAAGGTAAAAATTAATCAGATGTCTATGTAGAAATCACCCCTTGCTTCACTCCTGCGAGGCACTTGCCCCGAGCGCGCCTGCTCGTGCAGAAGGTGGGAAGACCATCCTGGCGTGCACACAGCATCTTTAACGGACGCCCGGGCAATGTGGCAGAGGGTTTTGAAGCATCTGGGTGTGAAGAGGTGTGCTGTGCAAACGGCTTCTGACCATGCCTCTTTATTTATCTCTCGCTGGAATCGAAAGGTGGGTTTTGCATCTTTTGCCAAGCTTTAAGGATCACTGGGGAGTTTTTGTTGTGCTGTTTATTGGTGCTTCCTAAAGATAAAATTCAGGAGACAACATCTCCGTCCTCTTTTTTGTTTTTTGTTTTTTTTGGATTCTGCCTACAGCCAGACTTTGGCTTTCTCATGTTCAGGGTCTTGAAATCCCCAAATCCAAGAAATGTGACCTTCCATCTAGAAGTGAATTAAGGTGACTTTAAAAGTTTCCTTGGTGGAGTAGAAGGAAGGATTTTTTGAAAATCCCTCTGGCTTTTACAGCTAGCAAACTCAGGGCCATTCCTGAAATACTATCTGTTTGTTTTCCTTCCACTTACACCTGGTAAGAGGAAGATAAGCTGCCTCTTTATTAATTGCATTTGATGATAACCTGTTTGATTGAACAAGAGAATTAAACACCCAGACTCACATGAGGCTGTTTGCAAAGTTCAAGAGAAGGCCACGCACTTCTTGTGCAAAAATTGATCCATCCTGCAGAGCATCTGCAAACCCCCCTCCCCACCTTCCACTTTTCAGTGCAACCACCAGCTGGTACAGTTCTTTTGCAATTTGCAAGATCTTTCAGCCAGCCTTTCAATTTTTAACACCTTTTAAAAGTTTGGTTTATACAATCTGCTTTCTTAGTGATGGATGCATGTATAAGGAAAGGGAGGAGGGCCGTTATGTTCCTGCAAAAATTGACCAAGGCAGGAGCAGTGGGTTGAATCATGATAGGGTGACCTTGCTGGCTGTCTCGGCTGGGGTCATGGGTTCAAGCTACTAACTTGCAGCAGTGTCATTTTTTCAAAAACGAACCCTTCCTGTCCTACTGAAAGAAAGCTGTGAGCAGCCCAGAGGGTTTTAAGGTAGATACGGAGTTCAGGCATCTTACACAGCTCCTCTTGCATTCCGATTGATTTTCTTTTCTCCTGTCCTGTTCTCCAGTGGGGGAGAAATTCCATCACCAAAAAGCCCAAGCTGCAGGGTAATGTGACTGTATTTTGAAGTTGTTGTTGTGCCTTTTCCCCCTTCTTGTAAGTGGGACAGCATGTCTGGCCCATTGTTCGCTTTGTTAGCTGAGACCATGCTCATGTTGAGTGCAGTGACATCACGCTCCTCATTTCCTATTGGGTGCTTCTAAAAGCACCCCCTCTTCCCCCCCAGCCCCCCGGGCCACTCCCAAGTTCTATTGGACTGTGTGTCTCTCCTTTCAACTTTTTTCTGTGCTCCCCATCTTGATAAACATCACAGCTTAATTTCTAGGGGTGGTGGGAAGAGGTGCCGAAACTCAAGTCATTGCAAACCTCACTCTTGCACTGGGAAACCGTTACTTGACTCTTGCAGACTTTGCGCTTGCTCCATGGCAAATCTAAAAGTGCGCTGCACCTGCTAAGAGAACTCTTTAATTGCTTCCTACCTCACCCAGGGTAGAGCCTTGAGGTAAAGCATAAAGTTTCTTTGGAAGGGCAGTATTAATGAGCTGCAGAACAGTAACTGAAGTCCATCAAAAAGATGTTAGCCTGGTCAGAAATCTAACAGTTGCCCTGTTGGTATGCATGACACTTTCGCAAATGCTTTGTGAGAACTAGAGCCTTGATCCTTTTTTTGAAAAAGTATATATTTTTAAGAGGAAAGGTAGAAGAGATCTGTGTCTTCCCATGAAATGTGTGCCTCTATGCTTCTTAGCTTCTCCCAGTTAAAATCACTCCTGTCCAATCTAGTGACCTCATTTTAAAATACTACTTCTGCTGTGAGCTTGTGGCAAGTCCTTATGCTCCAACTTTTAATACTTGGATGTTAATACTTCTCTTTCAGGGTTGTTGTAACAATTCTTGTGTTTCCCATAAGCCAGCCATAAAGTGGGCTTCATGCAAGTGTTTTTAAGGAGAAGCCATCTGAGAAGATTTTCCTCTGTGTTCTTTGAAATTCCCACTGCCTAAGAGACAGATCTTACTTCCTTTCTCTCTTTAGACATTGCATCTAAAGGGGCTGAATGTTTATTCTCTGAGTGGCTGCTAAAATTTCTTAGGGGCAGGTTGTGCTTTCCCCCCCAGTGTGCAAGGCTCCAACGGCTGGGTTTGGGTGGTGTGGCTGCCATTGATTTTTCAGGAGCAAAACCAGTGCCTCACAGCCTTTTGTGGGATTTCCATTTTTCTGTGTTGTGAATTGACAAGCAAACAGAGCTCCGTTTCTGGGGGCTTGGAACAGCCCTTTCTGTTCCAGCAGAGTCTTGTCTGCAGAGTAACGGTAATGAATTGAACGCACTTCTAAGCAAAGCCACCTCTGATGTGGTGCAGCCCTAAATCCCCAGAAGGGAAGGGCCCGTCCGTTCTCTTCTGCAGCAGCGGGGCTTTCCCACAGCTGCAGCCAGACAAGGCTGTCCCTCAGCAGGCTTATCTTCCAGCTTGTGTGGATGACAGACTGATGTGATTCAGGGATGTTACCCCATCAGGCTGAAGAGGTAGGCACATTTCATTGAATTCAGATGATCTAATGCATTTTTAAATACAAACTAACCCCAAGGCACACACTCTTGAAAGTTCATTTTGTAGGCAGTCTGGTATCTTGAGTTCACAGTTTTGAAAATAGCGTGTTGACATGCATAGCAAGTGCTGTACCACTGCACTGTGGCCTTCCCTGAAAAACAGAAGTAAGGTTCTAGTCCTGATGGTGCTAACTTGGGGGTTTGTTTACATGGAAATGTGGGGAATTACCATGTGCCAAAATGAAATGTAGTCTCTTGGCCTGATCTGTAGACTGTGGGAATTGAAGATTGCTACTTAACTAGAAAGTTGCTTAATAAGGCTGGAATTTTAGTTCTCAGGCTTTTGACCAGAAGGTAGGAAAGCCAGGACTAAGGCATGATACAGAAGATGTTGGCCCTATCTGAACTCGTAAAATCAGTAAGTTCCACATGGTAAAGGTGCATTGTTTGGAGCTGAGGGGGATTCATGTCTGCCTTATATAAACTTGTTATAAAATTTATGCAGACAGACAAATGCTTTTTCTTGCAATATTTCTGCATTTATTCAAAGCATTTTTAATTTGCTTCCTAATCTAAAAAGAGAGAGAGAGAGAGAGAGAGACAGAGGGATAATCCTTATCTGAAGAATTAGAGTGTAGAAGGACATGGCACACTCAAAGATGAAGAACTGGAGAAGAGTCTTCAGTAGATATTGGTTCATGGAATGACCCCACATCCTTACATATAATCTGTTATAAACTTAGAACTCATGGTAATACAGGGAAGGATGGATCCGTCTCGTTCTGGTACATGTTAGTTTTGCATCTAGTCACAAGTTCACAGCATCTGACTTCTATCTCAGTCTGCCACTATAAAGAAAAACCATGGAAATTCACATTTTTTCCAAACATGTGCATTTTCATACACCATGTTAGAACAGAACTCCGTTTGGCCAAGTGTACAATCCATTCTGTGTCCCAAATCCACATCTTAGTCCAAAAAGTGCAAATAGAGTTGGTTCACTTAAAACAATAAACAACCTGTTAATTAAAATCTTGGGCAGTAAATTCAGAACAGCAGAAGGAAACACACAGTATAGATCTAATTTGGGGAATACAAAAACACGATGCTGTAAAGATGTCTTTTAGGAAAAAGCATTGGAGAAGATTTTCCTGTCTGCTAGAAATGGGAAATGTGGTTGCCTAAACTTTGTTCCTTATCCATTGTTTCATTTTGTGTTACTTCCAAAATAAAATTTCTGCCCTATGATATATTTCTGTATCTTCCATGATCTGTACTGGCTTTTAAACATTTTTATTGGCAGCTAAGAACAAATGAGTGCCATCTCTTGAAGGTACTGTAAGTAGATAGCAAAGTCAATACCCTGATCTGAATAAAGGGACTCCAACTAATACCTGCAGGTGACGCAGTGGTTTAAACCGCCGTGCTGCTGGGCTGGTAGATTGAAATGTCGCCGGTTCGAATCTGCACAACGGGGCGAGTCCCCGTTGCTCCGTCCCAGCTCCTGCCAGCCTTGCAGTTCGAAAGCCTGCAAATGCAGGTAGATAAAAAGGTGCCACTTCGGTGGGCAGGTAACAGCGTTCCGTGCACCTCGGTATTCAGTCATGCGGCCACACGACCACGGAGACTGTCTGCGGACAAGCGCCCGCTCCCTCGGCTAAGAAACTGAGATGAGCACCACCCCCTGAAGTCAGGCATGACTGGACTTACCGTCAAGGGGAAACCTTTACCTTTAATTAATACCTGGGCCTTTAAAAAAAGTGAATTTGTTTTAGCTATGCCATTTCTGTTAAACAAGAATCACAAAGCCCCCCCACTTGTTTTTAAGGCTTTGCTTCTGACTTTTTGTTTACACAGTTGTATGGTTTGCAGTGGTTGTGGAGAATTCTCCAACCTGATGTCCATCTCACATCAGCTATAAGCAATAAATGGTATTGATTACTAAGTGGAAATTCAGTGGGCAGGGGCACTGTAGCTCTTAAATGTCAGATATTGGAGAATAACGGGTTGGAAATTCCATTTTGACTTTTACCCTTCTTATGGGATTTCTAGTTCCCCACCCGCCGGGGAAAATTAGATGCTAACCTCATACTGTATTGTACTGTACTGCTGGGAGAAGTGGAGATATACTTAAAATGAGATACTGTCTTGCATCATGCAGGAAAAAACTACCCAAATGTTTGCTTTTGTCTTAAGGCTATGTGTATTTCATGATCAGCATGGTTAATTCTCTTATTTGTAAACAACAGCTGCTTTCCCCTTCTACAGCTTATGCATAAACCTCAATTAATCAGAAGCTCAGGAAATCAAAAGGACGTCCCTCAGAGTTCACAACCCCTATGAATCTTGGCATATGGCAAAATTAAGTTAAGTTTCTAGTCCCTGGTGTTACAAGAACAAACATTTGGAGAAAAGCAGCCAATGCATTTCAAGATGTCAAAGGAGTTGCTGATTAAGCTATCCAGTAGTGTGAAATGGAGATCTGGGGTCCCGATTCCCTGCGCATTTCTTGCAAGTGCTAGAAACAGAGGGAATTATGGGAACTAAGATGCACTGAAGTGTCTTTAAGGTTGCAGTTCCTAGCAATAGGAAGTCATTTACCTAAGTACCACTGTGTGCAGAGAGGGACATCCACCAGTGAGTTGACATTTCTGCTTTGGGAGATCTCCCAGCACGCAGCGGAATGCTTTGTGGCTGCTGATATTTTGCCAGTCCCACAGGGGAAAACTGAGCATAGGCCCGCTGCATCTGTTTCTCCAGCACATGCAGACAAACAGCCTAAGGCTACAGCTGTCCTGGGGCTCGCATGATTCTTTTTCGCTCCTGTTCAACTCCGGAAGATCTTTATATACACACACGCTTCTCCTGCCCTGACCAGCAAATGGTGTGATACCTCTGCATGAATTCACAGCACATTTCTCTGCCTGTTTTGTGCCTGGTTGCAGAATTTCATGCTGAGGGATAATTACTCAGCCAGGAAACTTTCGAGCAGCTTGTACAGAGGGAGCAAAGAAAAGAAGCATCATGGTTCCACCAGTCTGATGAAAGACAACTAACTTTTTCCTTTTCCCTCGAAATCCCTTTTTCCTTTCCTGCTGTGTCTTTTTATCTTGTACAACCACACAAGGGCAGGGAGCTGTTGTATTTTACAGGTTGTGTATAACCAACCCAACCAAGAAGGAGCATCAAAAACATTTGAATGAATACGTAAATGTTCTGTATGGGAGATTTTACTGATAGCATCTTCATGCCGAAAAGCAGTCTACCTCTGAAGTACCAAATAATCAGACAAGCAGCATTCAGTGGCCCTGTATGTTCTTTTTGGGCTCCTGCTTTGCTTTTGCACATCCCCCCTCCCAAAAAAAGCATGACAATCTGAGGGGGACAAAATCAAAAAGAGTCAATTTTCCCCCAGAAAGGGCAAAAGAAAAAAGGAGACTCTTTCCTTTTTTTTCCTTTTGGCCTGTTTTGCTTTGCCTTTCACAGATTTTCATGAACTGAATGCTGCAATAAAGATCACCAATCAAGAAGTAATAAGATTGTCATGAACACTCCCTTTATCTACCATAAATTCAAGGGCTATTGAGAACCTATTTTTGTGCAGACGGTTCAAGATGCTGCATTTCAGGCCTGGGGACACTCCAGGCTTGCCCTGTGAAGCCCTTACTCAGATTTCTTTGGTGTGTTCCCAGCTTTTGTGGAGCTCCCGCTGTCCAGTTCTAAAAAGCTGAAATCGCTCCTAAGTCTAAGCAAAATCAAGCATCTTTGGCTGCAAAGTGGATTTGGCCTTTCTCATAACTGGAATGCAACCCCTCAATTGGCCACTGATCAGACAGAGTCCAGTCTCCCTAGCCTGCCTGGACAGGTCAGTGTGGTCCTTTGTTGTGTCCGATTGCGGAAGAGGCTATCTCTGAATAGGAGGCATAGCGAGAACTCCCAGAACCAAATTTTGGAAAACAGGAGAAGTGCCAGATGATTGGAGAAGGGCTAATGTTGTCTCTCTCTTCAAAAAGGGGATCTGGGAACTATAGACCAGTTAGTCTGACATCAATCCCTGGAAAAGGTCTGGAGCAAAATCCAGAAAAAAATTAAAAATCCATCTGTAAGCATGTTGAAGAAAATGCAGCGATTAAGAGAAGCTAGCATGGATTTATCAAAAATAAACCCCGTCAGACTAATTTAATCTCATTTTTTGACTGGGTAAACATCCCAATTGGACAAAGGGAACACTGTGGACATAATCTATCTGGACTTTAGCAAAGCTTTCAACATAGTGCCACGCTACATTCTGATAAGCAAATTGGCCAAAACTGGAGTAGGTGGGAAAACTATCCAAAACTGGCTGCTAAATTGGGCACAAAGAGCGCTCACGAATGGTACCTTCCCAGATCGGAGGGAGGAAACTGGTGCCGTGCCACAGGATTCGGTCCTGGGCCAGCGCTTTTCGACATCTTTATTATAGTTATTCCATTTGTATGTTTCCCCGTAACCTGAATGTTCTCTCTGGGCTGAATGGGATTCAGTGAGGACAAGAGGGAGTCCTTCACTTAGGCAGAAGAAACTAAAGGCATCAATACAAGATGGGGAATATGAGGCTCAACTTAACTGAAGAAGAAAACACTGCAAGCACCCCAAGGGCCGTTACAAAGAGGAAGGTCAGCAGGAAGGCCACCTTCCTCCCTGCTAGGACAGCGTGGCAGTGGGGCCAGCTGCCTGGGGAGGTGGGGGGCTCTCCCACACATTTGGAGACATTCGGAAAGAAGCTGGACAGCCACCTGAGACGGATGGGGCAACATGCCGTCCTGCAACAGCAGGAGGGTGGACTAGATGCCCTTCATGACCCCCACCAACTCTTCTACGATAGGAAACAGCAGGAAAGTTTCCCACAATGCTCCAGAAATATGCTCAGTTGGGGCATGCTGGGAAATTGTCAGATTGCATCTGTTCAGCACCCAGGATTCTAGTTTGCTGCCTGCACACTGGTGCCAACTCTCCATAGCCCAAGCTACCCTAACTCGCAGGCTGCCATCTGGAAGACGAATGACAGCTTGCATTTCTTAAACTTGCCAACAGAATTTACAAAAACTGGCACAAAAAATGGGATGTTTTAATGGGATTTCTACCCATCTCACCAAACAGGAGTATTGTGCTCAGTTTTGGGCCCCTCGTTACAGGAAGGATATAGCCAGGTTGGAGTCAGTGCAGCGTAGGGCCACAAGGTTGGTGGCCGGTTTGCAGGGGAAGCCGTATGAGGCGAGACGGAGGGAACTGGGTCTCTTCCGCCAGGAGAAGAGGAGGCTCAGAGGGGATCTGTCGGCGACATGCAGGTGTGTGAGGGGGTGTCACATGGAGGTGGGCAGAGACCTGTTCTCCCCTGCAGAGGAAGGCAGGATGCGCTCCAACGGAGCAAAGCTCAGGGAGCCAAGGTTCCATTTGGATGCCAGGAAGCACTTCCTGACAGTCAGGACCCTGAGGGTGTGGAATGGGCTTCCACGGGAGGGGGGTGAGGCCCCATCGGTGAGGGTGTTCAAGGACAGGCTACACATGCACATGGTGGGCATGTCATGAGCGGAGCCGGGGTCAGACTAGATGACCCGGGAGACCCCTTCTGACTCGCTCTGTTTCTATGTAACCTGTGCTGTAGTTTGGCTCCAAGTGTCCCACTTTGCACAAAAATTCCTGGAAAAATCAGGGTTTACAAAAGCCCCATTAAAATCATACATTTTTGTTGTGCCAACTTCTAGCAATGCTGTTGGTGTTTGCAAAAGCAAAATGCAAATGGCAGCTTGTCTTGCAAACAGTAGGCTGTGGAAAAGACTTGGCTCAACTTAACATCAGATCCAAGTGGGCAGGCAAAATCTGGCAAGCTGAATCCAACGCGTTTTCCCTTTTTTGATGCATCTTTAGCTGCACAAAACCAGGGAAATTTGGGGAGGCTGTGATTGGGACTGTGATGGGCTACCCTGAGCAGCATTATCTGAATCGTATATAAAAGCTTTAAATACAGAAAATAAATCCCCGTTGTATGAGGATTCTCATTGTTCTCATTAGGATTCCGTTCAGTGTACTCATTTTTCTTTTTTCTTCCCTTCCTTTCATCCTTGTTTCAGGATGCAAGATTAAAGCACTGAGAGCAAAGACCAACACATACATAAAGACGCCAGTGAGAGGAGAAGACCCGGTCTTTATCGTGACGGGACGGAAAGAGGATGTGGAATTGGCCAAGCGGGAGATCCTTTCTGCAGCCGAGCACTTCTCCGTGATCCGGGCCACACGCAACAAAGCCAGTGGAGGAACGGGCTCTGTCCTGGGGCCCCCCAGCCTGCCAGGGCAGACCACTATCCAAGTGCGGGTCCCCTACCGCGTGGTCGGGTTGGTGGTGGGCCCCAAGGGAGCCACCATCAAGCGGATCCAGCAGCAGACACACACCTACATTGTGACCCCGAGTCGGGACAAGGAGCCAATCTTCGAGGTGACCGGCATGCCTGAGAATGTTGATCGGGCTCGGGAAGAGATCGAAGCCCATATCACCATGAGGACTGGCTCCTTGATCGACACCAGCACTGACAATGATTTCCATTCCAATGGCACAGATGTTTGCCTGGACTTGCTGGCCAGCGGCTCCTCCAGCCTCTGGTCCAAAGCACCCAAACCTGCGGGCTGCACCCTGCCCAGCCTACACAACGAGAACCTTAGCTCCCTGGGGGCTGCAGCCCCAGCTGCAGAGCCTTACTTTGAGGGGCCCGTGGCCGAGGGGGCACCAGGCAGCCCCTTCGGCTCCAGCACCAGTTTCCCTTTCAGCGAAGCCGCCGCCTCTGTGCTGGGCTCTGACGACTGCGACTTTGGGTTCGAATTCCTGACCTTAGACCTCACCGCACCAACCACCATCTGGTCCCCGTTTGAGCCCCCAGCTAAACCTCTTCAGACCTTCAGCAGCTCCTCCTCTGCACATAAACACACCAGCAGCCTCAGTAACGCAGCCACGCCTCGGCATTCGCCAACCCTCCCCGAGATGAGCAAGGCGTTGGCGCACCCTCTGGCCCAGTGCATCCAGAGCGACCCCGCCACTGCTTTGTCCTGGCTGAAGACCCAAGGCTCGCTCTCGGCCCATCCCAACAGCACTGGCCACACCTCCTCCTCTTCCTCTCTGCCAGGAAGCAGTTCGGCCACCTCAGGCTCCCCGACAGATTCCAGCAGCTCCGACGGGGCGCGCAAGAGCACCCGCGAGTGCATGGTGTGCTTTGAAAGCGAGGTTATTGCCGCACTGGTGCCTTGTGGCCACAATCTCTTCTGCATGGAGTGTGCCGTGCGCATCTGTGGCCGAGCAGAGCCCGAGTGCCCGGCTTGCCACACGCCGGTCACACAAGCCATACACATTTTCTCTTAGCTGACCAGGTTGGCAAGCCCACTGTCTTAACCTCCCCTCGCCCTCCGGAAACATGGCTTTTGCAAACCATTAACTGTTTCTATTGAGCTTTTATTTCCCAAAGTTCCTGCAGGGGTGGGGCGGGACAAGGCTTGGCCGAAAGCGAGCTCCGGCGAGGGAAGGAGGGAGCTGAGGTCGTGTGGCGGGGAAGGGTTACGAGGCGTGCGCTTTGGTGTGGGGGCCTCGGAGCAGAAGGGAGGTGCACACTTTTGTGAATGATACAAACATTGTTTACAGAATAGCTTTAATGCTCAGCCTGCACACCCAGGTGGAGCCAAGTGAAACATGTGCTGATCCCCCAAGCGTTGTTTTGAAATGGCAGTATTTTTCTTTGCAACGATAAAATCAATCAAGTGAAAAGTGAGGTCCACATGCACTTTTGAGGGACAAGAAATGGGTTCTTTGAGTTGTCTTTATAGCATTTTTTTCTATTCCAAAAGCAATTTTTTAATATTATTTTAAGCTGTTGCTGTTAGGGTTATGTGACTGGATGTGTGTGTGTGTGTGTGTCTGTGTTTAATTTTTTGTCAGTAGGACAAGTTCCATCTTGAACATTGTCCTCAAAATTCACTCCTCAAAATCCATAATCAGCTAAAATGGAGAGGATAGTTTTGGATATTTTAAGGGGAAAGACAAGTTGCAGAAGAGAAGTGAGAACACGTGAGCAAAACGCTGCCTTCCCCACACTACCCTTCAGCCATGTTGGATTATATCTCCCATCACCCCCAGCCAACATGGATGGTGGGGGCTGCAATCTAACACGTTAACAGTACTTGGTCAGAAAAATTGGGATAATGCGCGTGCACAAAAGTTTTGATTAGGCTCTTTTTTTAAAAGTTTGTTTTTTATGTCTGTAGGGAATTTCTAGGGAAATAATTATTGAATAAATTTTAACTAAAGTATTTTATTTTTAAAAGATGGGGCTTGGCAGTGGGGTTGGGGGGTGGGAGGGAGGGTAACCAGACATTTAACCTTACAGCGGCTAAGTTCTGATTTATAAATAAATATATATATATTTGCTGATTTGACTTGACAGTTATGAGAATTGTATCCAGAGGTTTATTTTTTTTGAAACTTAAAAGCCTTCTTAATGTTGTTGATGATAATAATAACTACAATAATAATAATAAAAATAAAATAAACTTTTTACTATCTCTGAAGGTATTTTTGTAAATACAGTGTATCATTCTTGACAAACTAGTGCTTTCCAGCAGAATTTTTTTAGATATTTATTTTCATTATGCAGTACAAAAACAACCAAACCACACTACTTGAGAAGGAGTGGGGAGAATAAAATGAAAAGGTTACTGGTTTTGAATATTTTTTATTTTTAAAACAATCATGCACATTACTTATTATATCCATTTGCATTAGTAGAGAACGGAATGTTAAATATAAATATTATTATCAAAACATATTCACGCACAGACTTCCACAAAAGCAACCCAGATACCCACCTATTTAGCCCACTCTAGATTACATCAGAAGCGCACCAGTTCAAAAATGGAACATTTCATTAAATAACAGGATGAAGGATTTAATGAATATTAAATTAATTTAATTAAATATTAATTAAAGGGAGAGAGACAGGGGGAGCGCATCCCTATTGGTCCTCCTGGACCTCAGCGGCTTTCGATACCGTTGACCATAGTATCCTTCTGGATAGGCTAGTGGGATTGGGGGTCGGAGGCACTGCTTTGCAGTGGTTCTGCTCCTATCTCAATGGCCGATTCCAGAAGGTGGTGCTGGGGGACTATGGCTCTGCGCCATGGCAGCTATGCCATGGAGTACCACAGGGCTCCATTTTGTCCCCTTTCCTGTTTAACATCTACATGAAACCGCTGGGAGAGGTCATCAGGAGGTGTGGGCTACGGAATCATCGGTACGCTGATGATACCCAGCTCTACCTCTCGTTTTCCACCAATCCGGGTGAGGCAGTGGCTGTGCTGAACCGGTGCCTGGCCGAGGTAATGGGCTGGATGAGGGCCAACAAACTGAAGCTCAATCCAGACAAGAGAAAGGTCCTGTTGGTTGGTGGATCGGGCTCTGGGTTGGGGGACCTGGACCTTGTCCTGAATGGTTGCACTCCCTCCAAAGGACAGGGTCCACAGCTTGGGAGTGCTTCTCGACCCGGAGCTGACTTTGGAAGTTCAAGTGGCGGCGGTGGCGAGGGGCGCTTTCCATCAGCTTCGGCTTATGCCTCAGCTGTGTCCCTACCTGGAGATGACAGCCTGGCGACAGTGATGCATGCATTGGTTACTTCCCAATCAGACTTCTGTAATGCGCTCTATGTGGGGCTGCCCTTGAAGACGGTTCAGATAGTTCAGATGGTGCAAAACAGAGCTGCCAGGTTGCTGACGGGGACTGGGCATTACTCTCATATAACTCCAGTCCTCCGTCAGCTTCACTGGCTCCCCATCGAAGTCTGGGCCCAATTCAAGGCGCTGGTCATTACCTATAAAGCCCTAAACGGCTTGGGACCTGGTTACCTAAAGGAGCGCCTGCGTCCATACTTGCCCTTCTGCCCTCTAAGATCAGCGGCAGAGGCCCTTCTCTGGGAACCCTCCATGAAAGATATTAGGAGGGAGGAGGGTTTTCTCTGCAGTGGCGCCCAATCTATGGAATGCGCTCCCCAGAGTGGTCCACCTGGCGCTGTTATTTGTTTTTCAGCGCCAGGCCAAGACCTTTTTATTTAAATGTTATTTTAATTAATTGTTAATTTATTTATTGGTTTTATTTATTGCCTGGATGTATCCAATTTTTATATTTTTGTATTGTTATATATTTGCTGGAAGCTGCCCCGAGGCTTATGCAAATGGGGCAGCATACAAGTTTCCCAAATAAATAAATATTGTGGGGGGCAGATTTCTCTTTGCAAATATGCTCTCTGCTTCCGGACATATTCCCTATTCCTGCCGTTGACTTCAGGTGACTTTTCTCAGGGAAGAGATGCTGAGGAGGCGAAGTTCTGGAATTCCTGGGAATGATGAAAACCCAAATCAGCAACTCCTGGCGGACCTCTGGCTAACTTGCAGTTGAAATGTTTTAAAAACCCCTTTAAAAATATTGCACATATTTCAATGCATCACCCACTGCAAATTTCGAGCAAGCAAAGGCGTGCTAGGAGCAACCAGGCAGCTTGTGGCTTGCAAACGCGGGCTTGCAGTTTTGTGTTTGGGGCAGAGGCGGGTCCCTTTATGGGCTGGAGCACAGATGGGCTCAGACATGGCGTCTCCCACCTTTCTCCAGGCAACGAAAAGCCACCAAGTTCGGCATAGTCGCAGCCAAAGAAAGTGGTTTTCTTGAGGTGCGAAGCACTGAAAAGCAGAGTGTGGCTACATTTTAATTTCTGGAGCTTGGGGTCTGAATGCGCAGCAGGGCAGTGGAAGTCCCTGGGATAAGTAGGGTGGCTTTTCCCACACCCTGAGGCTGGATTTGTCAGGAGCAAAGGTTTAAGGGTGGAAATGCCAACCAGCTTTCACTTCACCTCTAAACCTGAAATATTGAGAAGGTGCTTCTCTTCCCAGCATTCCAAACAGCAAAGCGAGGCTGATGGACTCTGGCAGTGTTTCTCCACACTTCCAAGTCATCCTTAAACAGGAGCGATAAATATCCTCAGAAGCTGAGAATTGGAAGGGACTAAAAGGGACGAAATTAAACCATCCACTAAACATTTTTTTATATTGCTTAGAAATATTTTTTATGTTCATACTTTTTATTTGATTTCAGCGATCTTTCCACAAAACCAAACATCAGCAAAAAAATGCTGAGAATAAAAAGCAAGAGTAAAACCACAAACACATGCAGAGAAAAAAGGGAAGAACAAAGCAAGTGCACACACAAAATACACTCACACAACAGCAACATCCCACCAACTGCTCAAATCTCCATTTTCGACCTATTCACTATCCCTGTTTAGGATCAGCAATTTTAAAAGCATGGGGCGGAAGAAAACTCAGACGTCATCAAGTCCACCTCACAGCTGGTGGGGGAAGCATGCTGCCATCTCCAAAATGAGGGTACAAAGAAATACATGGTATTACTTTGAAGTAAGAGCCACTGGATTCATTGGAGCTTTCCCCCCTTAATTAGTTTGGGGATCCACAAGCAATGATGCAGCTTTAAAGAGTGTTGGTATGAAATCAAAGCAGGTTCCAGCTGAATCTCTGGTATTTTGTGTAGGGAAAAATCATCCTGTTTTTCTTTCATAGAAACATAGAGAGTCAAAAGAGGTCTCCCGGGTCATCTAGTGTGACCCCCGGCTCCAGCCGGCTCTGCTCATGACATGCCCATCATGTGCATGTCCAGCCTATCCTTGAATGCCCTCACCAATGGGGCCTCAACGACCTCCCGTGGAAGCCCATTCCACACCCTCGGGGTCCTGACTGTCAGGAAGTGCTTCCTGGCATCCAAATGGAGCCTTGGCTCCCTGAGCTTTGCTCCATTGGAGCACGTCCTGCCTTCCTCCACAGGGGAGAACAGGTCTCTGCCCACCTCCGTGTGACACCCCCTCACACACCTGTATGTCGTCAACAGATCCCCTCTGAGTCTCCTCCAGGCTGAAGAGGCCCAGTTCCCTCAGTCTCGCCTCATATCCCATCCCCTGCAAACCGGCCACCAGCCTTGTGGCCCTACGCTGCACTGACTCCAACCTGGCTATATCCTTCCTGTAATGAGGGGCTCAGAATTGAGCACAATACTCCAATTGCGGGCACACCAGAGTCGTGTAGAGTGGTAGTAACACCTCTCTCGATCTAGAAGCCACACTTCTGGCTCTGCAACCAAGGGTGGCGTTCACCCTCTTGACCACCGCATCACACGGCTGGCTCATGTTCAGCCTGCAGTCAACCAGCACCCCGAGGTCCCTTTCACAAGTGCTGCTCTCCAGCCACTTGTCCCCCAGCCTGTACTTATGACACCCGTTCCTATGCCCCAAGTGCAAGACCTTGCACTTATCCACATTGAACGCCACCCTGTTGTCTCCTGCCCACTTCCATAGTCTGTCCAGATCCTTTTGGATCTGGAGTATCGGCTCCTCAGTTGTGGCCACTGCTCCAGTTTTAGTGTCATCTGCGAATTTGATCAGCAGACTGTTCACCCCTTCTTCCATGTCATTGATGAAAAGATTAAGCAGGATCGGCCCCAGGACAGAGCCCTGGGGGACCCGCTTGTCACTGGCCGCCATCCCGATGATTCCCCGCCAATGGTTACCCTCTGCTTTTGGTCAGTCAGCCAAGCCCTATCCTGATTCTCTTCCTTCCTTCCTTCCTTCCTTCCTTCCTTCCTTCCTTCCTTCCTTCCTAATTTCTGTCCTTACTTTCTGTCCTTACTTTCTGTCCTTACTTTCTTAATTTGTTTCCCACCTGATCCACAAAGTCAATTTTTACTCCATCCTGGTGACATTTGTACTCACACCTGTGTGCGGTGAGGCGGAAAATAACAGAAACCTCTTAGCCCAACTGTTGCGTACACTGTAATGGTTTTATTTCTACTTGTTAAAAAACATATGCTTTTTCTAAGTCTGCCTTTTTTTTGGTGTTTGCTTCAGCCACACACATTCCCCAAGACAATCACACTCTTAGCAACGATGGAAGTTCAAATTTAGGCTGCAGGGTTCCCGGAATAGAAACAAATTTTGAGTAAAGTTTCACAGAAGAGGTGTCTTCAAGATGAAATGGCAACCCACTCAAAAGAATGAGAACCCGTGTTGTTGTTGGTGTTGAATTGTTATTGACATACTGGCTTCAGGTTTATTTTTATGATTGTCATGGAATGATCAAAAATCACAAGAGACCCATCCAATTAAGTTGTTTTTGCACTGCTTCAAGGAATTAAGATGCCTCTGATTCCTTCCCAAATTACTCAAAAAACCGCAAAAGTGCATACCACTATACCAAGTTTGTAAAGATTAGAAATGTGGGGATGGA